TTTAGCAACAATTAATAATAATCATGACCAAAAAAAAAAGTTATTAATTGCCAATGTTTAACTACATGAAAAAAATATATAAAAAATTATTTTTAGCGACAATTTTATTAAAATTAATTTTTAATAAAACTTAATACAAATAAAATTTAGGAAAAATTATTTATAAGTCCTATTATGGAGACTTATGCTACATATGGTCCTACGAAAAAACTTATGTTCCCACAAGTCCTGTATGAAGTTTGTTGACACATTTACCCTTAATATTAGTTGTTAATATCATAAATAATAGTAAAATCATATATAGGAAATTGAATATTACCATAAATTAAGTTTGCGAAACGTAACGTGACACTTACATAAACGTAACGTGACGTGACCATATTAGATAGGACATTACATAAACATAACGTGACACCGTAACGTGACACCTACATAAACGTAACGTAACGTGTCACGTTCCGTTTCGCAAACTTACTAGGTTTTTGATTTTTTAAATTGAATGTGAAAATGTTACTTGTTCGTGTATTTTGAAATTCACATTCACATAAATATGATCTATGGTGGAAAATTAAATGTTACCATAGATTAAGTTTGCAAAATGTAACGTGACACCTACATAAATGTAATGTATGTAACGTTCAATTTCCTATATAGGAAATTGAATGTTACTATATATTAAGTTTGCGAAACGTAATGTGACACCATAAATGTAACGTAACGTGACCATATCAGATAGGACATTGCATAAACGTAACGTGACGTGACACCTATATAAACGTAACGTAATGTGAAACCTACATAAACGTAACGTAACGTGTCACGTTACGTTTCGCAAATAGGATCTTGTGAAATATATTCTTATCTAAATAGGACTTGAGACTCTATAAGAAATTACACACAACTTAACATAGCATAAATGTCCGAAATAAGACTTATAAATAAGTCTCCCTAAAATTTAACTACTAAAATTTATTAGTTTGCCTTTTATTTACAGATCTACAATAATAAATAAGTCAATAAGTCATAAATCCAATTTTGGAGATCTTGGGGATAATTGGCACAAGCTTTACTTTTTGAAGCGCATAAAAGATAACAGTAATGATAGAGATCTCACAAAACATAATTTTCATAACTCTCAAAATAATGTAAACCATTTATACACAATTTTAAAAAAAAAAATTAAATACATCAATGATCAATATATTAATAGGAGTTATGAAATCCTCTTTTTATGAGGATTCTGAGACATTTTCAAAGGACAACTATGACATCTAACAAAGCTCTCTCTTCCCAACAACCTCATAACATCGACGACTTTTTTTTGACAATCCCCTCATAACACTGTTTGTTGCTACTGACCTCTAACATGGATGACATTTTTCTAACATTGGCAACTTTTTCTGATAACTCTTCATCAACTATTTTAGCAACTTTTTTGATGATTTTTTTCAATGACTCTCGGTGAATTAAACTGATAGTTTATCCGTCTCTTTTAAATTTAAAACCGCTGTGATAGAGGGCGGTAGGTGTAGAGTTCTAAATTGAGTTCTATACAGTTAGTAGAGGAAAAAATTAAAAATAAATTTAAAAAAAAAAAGGAAAAAAGACAAATCATAATGGAAAAAAAAGACAAATTAGAGCTCTTTTAGAACATCCGCAGTAACTCCCTTTTAATAGCTTTTTGCTATTGTAAGGGGTTAACTCTTCAAAAATTCTTCCCCATCAGATCCGTTATACAACCCCTTAAATTTAGGATTGCTACAGTCACTCCCTATTTGTAGGAGTCACTATAGCTCTCTCATATCTAACAATGGTCGTCTACCCGGATGTCCCAGATGAAGGGATCCAGGCAAAACTTGCTTTGCCAATCGTCCACCTGGACGTTGCTACGATTCACCTTCCGGACGTCCTATAGACTAAAGATTGAAGAAGCAAAAACAAAGGTCAACAAATTACCAGGTCAAGAACATCAACAAGGGATTTAATTCCATTTTCATCCATGGAATTGATATGATCCTCCACCCATTTCCCCAAAATCAAATCTAGTTCAAGAAACCCTCTATGTCTGCTTTTGTATAACAATCTACATGCACATATAGTGATGGAAATCATCATTAAAATCACCTGAAAACTTAATACACAAATGGCATTTTTGTAGAGAGAGAGAGAGAGTATGCCTGGAAGAGATTGGGAGAGGATAGAGGAGGTGGTTCGAGCATGTATAGATGTTGAATTGAGGATTCGTGAGATGCTGAGCAAGAGAGCTCCTCATATTCGCCAATTTTTTTTTTTTAATGAACAATGCTCTACTTATGCTTTCTTCTGCTTTTTGTTTAATTATTTTATTATTAAAAAAATATTTAAATTTAAAAACAATTAAAAAGATTATTTTAATAGAATAAAGAAAAAATAGGGAGTTTGTTAAGAGAAGTAAATGAAAAAGTGATTCTTAAAATAGAAAATGAATTTTTTAATAATATTTTAGAGTAAAATTTAGAAAAAATTAGTCTAAAATCCCTCTCCCATATTTAGTAATGTAAAAAATCAATAATATTATTTTATTGTCCCACACTCATATGATTGAGACCCCTTTTCTTTTGAGACCCCCACAACCCCCTTTGGATCTCAACCATCGATGGTGTGAGCCCTACACATACATCAATGGTTGAGATCCAAAGGGGTTGTGGGGGTCTCAAAAAAGGGAGATCCTAAGCATTTTTTCACTCATGTATACCACACACAGAAATTTCCAAATCTCTCTCTCTCTCTCTCTCTCTCTCTCTTTCTCCCCCCCCGATCTCATTACTTCACCTCTGCCATTACTGCCGCCTCCTCCACCGCCACCGCCACCGCCACCGCTACCACTGCCTCTCCTTTCAGATCAACTTCGCAGATCGACAAATCCGCCACCATCATCACCAGATCAGACCTCCACACACGGACCAGGCCACCGCCTCCACAACTCTCTATCGCATTCAATTTATGCTCCCATCTTTTTACCTCTCTTTAAATTTAGAAAATTCAGTACCCACACAAATTCTATGGAATAAAACAACCCCATGACAAAAAGCCAGAATTCTACACCATTGTTGCTCAGATTCATTGATAATGCCTCCAAAAGTACAAAGCTAAACATTAAGGTTGCGTTTGGTAGAGTTTTATAATTATAATTTGAGAGTATGAGTTGTATTTTGAGTTTGTAAGGTTTGAAATTATGATTTGAATGTAAAAAATTTGTTTGGTGAGAGTTTTAAAAATAGTTTTGAAAAGAGTTTTGAATTGAGTGGGAAATATTTGATGTGACATTTGATATTTGATACAAAAACTTACAACTCATAACTAAACATACAACTCAAAATTATTTTAAAACACATAAAAAAATTTAAAAAATTCAAAAAATATTTTTTTCAAATATATAAAAATTAACATATCAATTGCCAAAAAAAAAATTCACTGTTCCGGTCAACCGGCCGGACGACCGGTTAGGCCAAATTTTGAAAAAAAAAATGAAAAACCCGCTATGTCAAAATAGAGTTTTCTGCAGAGTTGTGGAAAATTAATTCCACAACTCTATCCAAACATCATACTCAAACCATGAAGTAGAAAACTAGTTTGAAAACACAACCAAACAAAAAGTTTCTGTTTCTATGAAAGAGACATTTCAATTCTACTGAAATTAATCATACTTTTCCCTCCAAGATTACACAAGGAAGAATACCCATGAAAGTGCCAATACAATGTCTACAACAATCTACCTCAGCCAATCGTGGCCGAGTATTTCAAGCTTCCTCTCAAAGTAAACTCTCTAGATTGCATGGCAACATGAAGAAGCACACACCCTTTAACAAAGAAGATCTAAAACTCTCTGTCCTTAACAAATGTCACCATGAACAGAACAAACCCAATGGCAAACAAAAGCAATCCAGAAAACGAATCCGAAGTACAAATCAAGCGCTCATCATGAGGTGTTGATCCCACAAGCTTACTCTCAATTTCACTGCCATGGCTAAACACAAAGACCTCATTGAAGAGTATTCCCATATGCAAAGTTGTGTTGTAGTGCTTTCGGACACCAGTGAAAATGATTGACTTTTGTGCATAACATCGCTACTTCTGCTTCGTGTATTGGAATTAAGACCAAAGAAATTCTTTGGTTTGAATTGAATTTTCTCTTAGTTGATCCAGAGAAATTCTTTGGTTTAGACTGAATTTTCTTTAATTTGAACTGAATTTTCTCTGGATTAGTCCAGAGAAATTCTTTGGTTTAAAGTGAATTTTCTTTAGATTGGTCTAAAGAAATTCTCTAGTTTGAATTGAAATTTCTCCAGATTGATTTAAGAGACCTTAAACATTATGAAAATATTAAATGTCCTTTATGCTATAAAATCTTAATACCAAGGACCCTAACCTTAGACATTATGAAAATATTAAATGTCATTTATGCTATAAAATATTAATATCAGATACCCTAAAAAAAATCTCCTAAAACTTAAGTAAGCTGCTAGAGATGCTCGTAGAGCTCTTAATTTAAAGCTCCAAAATATTTTTGAATTTAAAAATAGAGTCGGGTCTAATTTGCAATACATTCTAGTCCCCTGCAGTTATATATATATATATATATATTTCAAAGATAGCGAAGTCAAAAGGCCAAAATACAACAAAGAAAAAGACCCCATCTAAGCCGGAGGGCAAATTCAAAAACGAAACCTCTTCCATTCAAATCAAAATCAGTTCAGTCATCCTCCAATCTGACGGACAGGCCGGGGAAAAAAAAACATAATTTCACCAGTGCATATTTGAAAAATTATTTTTAAGTTAGTGATAAACTTTATAAACATTAAAAAGTAAAATTATAAACTTTATCACGTGTTTGTAATTAATTTTTGAGGATGGTAATCCCCCCCCCCCCCCCAAAAAAAAAAAAAAAAAACACCCAAAAGCTTAAACTTCCAATCCAGAGAGACACTCTCATGAGCTTATACTTACTGCACAGATCGATGTTAGATTTCAAATCCCAACATTTAAAATACCTTGCAAAAATGGTATTACTACATTGTGTGTGTGTGAGAGAGAGAGAGAGAGATCGATCTCATCACCATTACTGTAAACAACCATTCAGTTAGTCACAGCAATGTGTAACAACAATAAGTATCGATCCATCCTTTTGAGACTCCATTATCAAAATCAGATACGATACACAGTTACAGAAATTTTCGAAGTAAAAATAAATATCCAAAGGAAAATTTCCAAGGAGTCTTACGTGACGGTCATTTGAGCGTCACCCCCACCAGATTTCAGGCATCAAAGCTTCCATCTGATTCCAACTCACGCCAGTGAATGCTCTCCCACCTGTAAAGTGCATCGCATCAACTAAATTAAATATATAAATAAAAAAAATAACAATAAAAACAATAGCAGTTATCACCTGAAAGGGGAAAAAATGTAAGTATCAGTCAGTCATCTTAGAACATTATTCTTTGTAAGATAATAGGACTAGATGACGCCCAAGAAATGGCGATTATCTGTCATGGGTAGAAAAATATAGCGAAGGTGAAGCACATAATGGTGAAAGGAAAACCATATTAACTACACCAAAAAAATTAAATTAAGGATTTGCTTGGTTGCAAAATCTTCTTGAACAATATGCAGGCAAATCTCAGCAACTGAACTTTATGTCTCAACCATTATTTCAATAAATACTGGATTACATATGATTATACAATAGTTTTATAACCTCTTCCACTTATCACTTATAAAACTAAGCGTAAGGTTTCTTCACTGCTTGTCATTTCTACCGTATAAACTTATCACTTCTCCACTGAATATACCATTTCTCAGTTAAAATGTCTCCATTAAGATGGGGCGGAGAGAAAGAAAAATGAACAATTCCAGAAACAAGCACCTAAGTCCTGCACATACAAAATTTGACGCATTAAAAGATAGCATTTGTAACTATTCATACAAGAATCAATACGTGGACATATGCATCTATAATTTGCAAAAGTATCCATGCATCACCAAATCTTAACCCACAAAATTACCCAAGCATCTCCCTTCCAGAGTTCATGCACAGTACCTTCAACCCCACTGAATTCAACATCCTACAACACCCTCCTTTAACAATTTTTGTGAGATTTTTCCATTAATAACTATGAGCAGAAAAGTGATGCTTGGGCCCTATAGGAATCATGGTAGGCACTTTAGATGGCATAGAAGACCACCAGAAGTGCAGAGAGAAAGAACTGAGGTTGCCTCTGTGTGTGTGTGTGTGTGTGTGTGTGTGTGTGTGTGAGAGAGAGAGAGAGAGAGCCAGAGATGAATGTCTAACGAGTGGAGAAGATCTCCATTATATAGGACTTGAGCTATGGAAAGCAACTCACCCTTGGGAGTTGGGAGTTGACCAAGGCAGTAAGTACATATGATACACTCTTCAAGGTGTCAAATGGGTAGCTATGATATACATCTTTCGACGTATCACATGATCTGGTCAACATATGGTCTTATGACATATGCCTCTGCAGTGTTATTAGGCGCAAAGCCCAGCCATGCCCACCCCTTGCGCCTTGCCGTGGTCAAGGCGAGGCGATTTCACCAAGGCGCGATTAAAGCGCACGACTCGAGCTAGGCGCATTTAAGCCCAAGGCGCAGTCCTTGAGGGCTTTTTTTTTTTTTTTTTTTTATACAAATTGGACCACCAAGATTTAATGGGTTAGCTACAGCAGATTATTTCCTTCAAACATACTTGAAGATTTAGCCCAAATCAGCGATGACGAAAGAAACACCAAGCCCTAATCCAAATCTCCAAAGAAGTTCTTCTCTTCCAGTCATCTTCCAGCGCAGGCCTCGGTCGTCTTCCAGTCCAGGATGTGCTGGTATGTTCTTCTCTTTGTTTCTTCGTCTCTTCTTCCCCTTCTCTCCGTCTGTTCTCTTCGTCTGCTTGTTTGTCTGTCTTCTCTGTCTTCGTCTTCGTCTTCTTTTTCTTTGTCTGTTCTTTTTCTTCTTCTTCTTCTTCGTCTGTTCTTCTTCGTCTGCTTGTTCGTCAGTCTTCACTGTCTTCGTCTTCTTGTTCTTCGCCTGTTCTTCTCTTCGTTAGCCTTCTTCTTCACCTTTTCTTTTTTGCTTATACCTATCTGCCTTCTTCTTTTTCTTTTATTTTTCGCTTTTCTGCTTTTCTTCTTCTCCTTTTTTTTTTTTGTGCCCTCTCCTCGTCTGTTTGAACCTTTTTTTTTTTTAATTCTGAATTGCTCTGTTTCTTCTCTACTTCTATGATTTAGATGGCATCTAAAAATACAAGAAAAGATCCTGCATGGAAATATGCACATCAGTTAGATCCTAAGAACCCAAATCAATTCAAGTGTAATTTTTGTGGTAAAGTATCTAATGGAGGGGTTTATAGAGTCAAACAACATCTTGTTGGAGGTTCAAGAAACATCACAGCTTGTCAAAAATGTCCACCTGATGTAAGGGAAGAGATAAAAGAGTATATGGGAAACAAGAAAACACAGAAAGAGCAAATGAACTTGTTGCCTCATTTTGATGAGATGAACAATGATCTTGAAGAGGATGAAGATGACATTGCTTTTGAGATTCATCAGCCTCGTGGACCAAGTGGTAAATCATTGCCAAGCAATCAAAATAGTTCTTTTGCTGGATCAAAAAGGTTGAAGAAGAAGGGGCCCGTGGATGTATTCTACATACCCAATCCTGAATTTGTGGTGCAAAATAGAAAAGGAAAACAAACAACAATTGATCACAATAAAGAATTAAGAGACCGAGCAGTGATAAGAATCACTAGGTGGATGTATGATGCAGGTATAGCTTTTAATGCAGTTAGTTATGATAGCTTTGGACCAATGGTTGAAGCTATTGGGCAGTATGGTCCTGGTATGAAACCTCCCAGTTTCCATGAAGTGCAGGTTCCATATCTGAAGATAGAGATGAATCATACAAATGAGTTGATGAGGATTCATAAAGAGGAATGAGTGAAATATGGGTGTTCCTTGATGTCAGATGGATGGACTTCGCAGAATGGGAGGACTTTGATTAATTTTTTAGTCAATTGTCCTAAAGGAACTATGTTTGTTGAGTCCATTGATGCTTCAAGCTATTCAAAGGATGGGCAAAAACTCTTCGAACTACTTGATAAGTTTGTGGATGATATTGGAGAAGTTAATGTAGTCTAAATTATCACAGATAGTGCCTCAACTAATGTGTTGGCTGGTAATAATCTTTTGTCTTGATTCTTAAAAAATATGTACTTACTAGCTAATTAGTTAGTTAGTTTAGTTGTTATTAAATAATCTTCTGTGTTTCGTTTCTATAATTTTAATAGGTAAGTTTTTGGAGGCAAAGAGACCACACCTCTTTTGGACACCATGTGTGGCTCACTGCTTGGATTTGATACTGGAAGATATTTTCAAATTGCCACATATGAAGAAGACATTTGACAGGGCTATTCGGGTACACGGTTATATTTATAACCATCCAGGTGTGTTGAATATGATGAGGATGTTTACACAGTTAAAGAATTTGGTCAAGCCAGCAAAGACAAGATTTGCAACAGCCTTTCTCACTCTATCTAGGATTCATCAACAAAAAAACAACTTGAGAAAGATGTTCACTTCGGAGGAATAGACAAGCTCCAAATGGGCAAAGGAGCCAATGGGTAAACAAGCAACACAGATTATGTTCATGCCATCATTTTAGAATTTGGTTGTCTATGCTCTTAAGGTCTCAGGTCCACATGTGCATGTGCTTAGGTTGGTTGATTCTGAGAAAAAACCTGCCATGGAATACATTTATGAGGCTATGGATAGGGCTAAAGAAAGTATTGCAAAGTCATTTAATGAAAAAGAAGAAAAATACAAGAACATCTTTGAAATGGAGTCACTCGAAGCAAGTGACCCAAGAAATTTCGACCATCCCTCAACTTTAGTCAAGAATTCACAAGTCCCTGGTGGACCTACATGAGGTCATGGGTCACTCGGGTGTCCCAAAAACGAGGCCCTAACACAGAAGGGTACTTATTTAGGCACTACTCCCGACCTAGGCATGCTGTGACTTCCATGGCAAGGTGATCTGCTGAGTGGGTAAGAAAAAGGCAAGGTGTCGAGCAATCTGAAGAAGGTGATACAGAGAGGGAGATCCGGAGCAATGAAATGGCTTGGTATAAACTGAACTCATACAGATACCTACATTAGCCCCCTACCCGAAAGCTCTCACGAATCAGTTCAAGTGCACAGACATATCTCTATGATCATGAGGATTGCCCGATGTTGCCAATAGTCATAATGGAAGTGGTGTTTTGTAGATTGAGGGCAACTCCAACTCTGATTTTTTGTTGTTGATGCAAAAGTTTTGTTCACTAAGGTTCAAAAATGTAGTGAGTGTGATTTTCTTAGTGGCAAGGCATATGAACCCTAAAGAGGAGTTGAGGAGCCCCCTGCAGTTAGCCTCCTACACGAGCGCTTTCACAAGTAAATGAGAGTGCTTGTGCACCTCTTGACCATAGGAAATGGAACTGTATATGAGGTCAATTATTGATTATACTCTTCCATCATGACGATGGTGACTCTATGTATGAGGGCAACGCTAACCCCATTGAGTGAAGAGGCAGAGCGAGGTGCTTGAAATAGGAGCCAGGGAACCCCTTGTCAGTGAGACAAGCAAATAAGGCTTTCATTTCATAAAGGAGCCAGCATATATTGGCTCCACCCTCCACCATTTGGAAGGGAGACATATATAGGCAAGCACCCAAAGGGAAATGTTGATGGGCTTTATCATAGAAGAGAGTAAAGATTGCATCTACCCTTTACGGGAGAATAAAGTTGACTCCACCTCCCCCATGGAGAGAAGAATGAAATGGCTCTACCTTGGCTCTACCCTGAAGGGGAGCATAGGGTTGGCTCAACCTTCAACACCAAGAAGAGAGGCATGAATAAGGCTCAAGTTCAACCTCGTCAGGAGTAAAGTTTGGCTCTACCATCAATCAACTTTTGAGTGGAGTAAAAGAATGACTCTACCCCATAGGGAAGCATAAAGTCTGCTCAACTTTGGAGGAGACCGAGAGACCAAGGAAAAAATTATGACACAAGATAGGTGACAGGAGATTGGTGATACATCAAATGCAATTGCCCGTCAGGATCCTCCTTGTGAAAAGCATCAAGTGCATCCTCCTATGGGATACAATCGCCTGTGCAGTCAATTATTGAGATCCATCTTATGAGATTGGATACTGCAAATCTCCTTATGTGACCAGCTACTTGGATCTTCCTTGTGCAATTAGCTAATGGGATCTTTTTGAACTTCACTAATTCTAGGTCAGAAAATGTTCTTTCTTCACCAATGTCTCCAAGACGAATCGTATTTAATTATTCAGAAGATATTTACTTAATCAAATTATTGATGGATTGACTAGCTTGATCATTCATCATAAATATTAGTTCTTCGTCTGAACTCTCTTCATCACTAGAAATTTCATAAAGAATTTCTTCATCATCAAAAATTTCTTCTCCGTATAGTATTTCGAAGTTTTGTTCTTCAAAAACATTAATCATTTTCCTTGCACTTTTCCCTCTATTAGGGCATTCAGATACATAAAGAAATAACATTTACAAGATTTATTTTTTCGAAAACTTATTTATTTCTTTTTGCAAACAAATTTTTTTCTTTTTTTTAATTTTTTTTTTTTTTTTTTTTTCCATTTAAATCATTTTTGTTTGGAAAATCTTGTTCATTTTCTTTTTGTAACAAGATTACAACCAATTTTTCAAGTTCTTTCAAAATTGTCACAACCTGTGTAGCACGGACACTGACACGGGACACGACACGGACACGTAAAAACGCAAATTTTTAAAAAATAGAGGACACGACACGCTGGGGACACGTTTAATATATATAATTTTTTATATATATTATATGTAAAATTAAAAAATATATACTAATTTTATTTTTCATTTTTATAAATATATTATTTGTATTTATTTATATTATTTATTTACAAAAGAAAGGCATAAAAAAAAAAAAGAATAAAGAGGGAGAGACAACACTAGGGATGGTAATTTCAACCGGGCCCGACGGGTACCCGACTCCCCGACCCCGAATTGAACGACTTTTTTCCAAAAAATACCCCCGACGGGCCGGGGATGGTATTTAAAAATAAATCCCCGATGATATTCGGGCCGGGGCCGGGGCCGGGGATACATTTTCCAACCCGACCCCGCCCGATTCAGCCCCCCGACCTTGTTTATATATATATATATAAATATATGAGTGTTGTGTGTTCTGAACACAGTGTTCATATATAAAAATATATATGTGTATGTTGTGTGTTACAGCTGGCCTACCCCTCTCTCTCTCTCTCTCTCTCTCTCTCTTTCTCTAACACACAACCGCAACAGCGCAGCTCCCTCACCGTCACCGCCAACTCTTTATCTTATTCTCACCGACAGCTCCCTCACCACCAGCTTCTTCTCTCCTTCTCACGGTATCTCCGTCTCTCTCTCTCTCTCTCTCTCTCTCTCTCTCTCAGATCTCCTCTCTCTCTCACACGGATCTCCTTCTCTCTCTCTCTCTCTCTCTCTCTCTTGTTTTTTGCTTTTGTTCTTCAGATCTGGAAAATGATGACGATGAAGATGAAGATGTTGCTTTCAGATTTGTTGGTGATGAAGATCGTTTTCTGATGAAGATGAAAATGATCTCCTCTCTCTCTCTCACACGGATTTTTTTTTTTTGATGTTTTTGATGTTCTTGATGGTGACGAAGATCTGTTCTTGATGCTACTTTTTTTATGTTGTTGAGATGATTTTTTTTTTTTTTTTTTTTTTTTTTTTTTTTTTTTGGCCGGGGATTAATCGGGGTCGGGGAACCCCGATCCCCGTTGGGGGGCGGGGGTGGGGGTGGTAGTTGGTTCCCCGTCGGGGACGGGGACGGGGACGGGGGGAAATTCTGCCATCGGGGATTGGGGACAGGGAGGGTGATCCCCGACCCCGCCCCGCCCCGTTGCCATTCCTAACAGACACGGTAATAAGAGGAAAGAGAGTGAGAAACACGAAAAACAGTGAGAGACAGAAAGCGAGAGGCGAGACCAGAGAGAGATGGACAGAGAGAGGAGATGAAGACGATGAGAGACGAACACAGAAAGAGAGGAGACGAACAGAGGCGCGAAAGAAATACCTCGATCAAAGACGAAGAGGACTCGATCTAGCCTCGATCTAGGCTTCAACAGGTTCTTCCTCTCTCTCTCTCTTTCTCTCTCTCTTTGTTGATGTTGTATTTGAGCCCAAATATTCTGTTGATGTTGTTTTTTTGGCCGGGGATTTTCGGGGTCAGGGAAACCCGATCCCCGTTAGGAGGCGGGGGTGGGGGTGGTAGTTGGTTCCCCGTCGGGGACGGGGACGGGGACAGGGGGAAATTCTGCCATCGGGGATTGGGGACAGGGAGGGTGATCCCGGACCCCGCCCCACCCCGCCCCGCCCCGTTGCCATTCCTAACAGACACGGTAATAAGAGGAAAGAGAGTGAGAAACACGAAAAACAGTGAGAGACAGAGAGCGAGAGCGAGAGGCGACGACGACGATCAGAGAGCGAGAGGCGAGACCAGAGAGAGATGGACAAAGAGAGGAGATGAAGACGATGAGAGACGAACACAGAAAGAGAGGAGACGAACAGAGGCGCGAAAGAAATACCTCGATCAAAGACAAAGAGGACTCGATCTAGCCTCGATCTAGGCTTCAACAGGTTCTTCCTCTCTCTCTCTCTTTCTCTCTCTCTATATTCAATGGGTTAGGGTTTCTCTCTGTCTCCTAGTTAGGGTTTCTTTCTGTTTACAACGTGTCCACGACGTGTCAAGCGTGTCCGAAAGAGCGTTCGCCTGCAAAAATTCAAATAAAAAAAGGGAACACGATAGGTCGAGTGTCGGACACGTGTCTATCGCGTGTCCGACACGTGTCCGACACCCATACGCTGCCTCCAAAGACGTGTCCGTGCTTCATAGGTCACAACATTGTTGATCATATTTTGAATTTGAAATTTGGTTTTAACCGACTTTTTCGTTTATACTTCCAAGCATTGATTTGCTATCAATCTTGGGACATAGTTTATAAAATTTTAGATGATTAGCTACCATTTACATGTTTATTACTCAAGGTAAAAAGACAGTTGTACAAAGAACCAAATGTTAATCATGTGAGCAATGATGTAAATGATGTCGTAATCGACTACTCTGGACGTCAAATAACAATTTTGAAGTCCACAAGAATTTTGTATATAAGGGCAAGTTTGCCTTGAGTAATAAACATGTAAATTCTCCTTGCCTGACTTCTTGCCTAACTTTAAAAATCCTTAGTCTTTAGTTTAGCTACTTTCTTTCCTTCCATATTTTGTTGTATTTAGTATTAGAGCTTCGTAAAGAGCTTATAAGAGCAAGACCAAGTTTGTGTATATAGTATGTTTTGTATGCAATGTGCTTCCAAGTGTTTCTTTTCTATATATTGTGTTTTTAATTAAGGTCAATCATGTATGATCCATCACATGTGATCCATGGATTCCAACTTAATCCTACACGTGATTCATGTCCAACTTGTACCTAGCCCCAAAATTACCTAGGATGGGAGCAAGGTCTAGGATCTCCACTCAAGATCATTAAAGTACTTGTGTCTTTTATGCTAGAGTTGAGGAATTGTTAAGGTCCAAATTCCTAACCTTTGATATTGTCATAATTCCCAGACCATTTTCATATGGTCGGGCAGAGCTACAAATGAACCAAATTGTTCACGAACAGGCTCAACTCAGCTCATTAACGGCTTAGCTCATTTAGTAAACGAGCCAAACTCGAACTTAAATATTAGGCTCGTTTACTAAACGAGCCGAGTTCAAGCTCGAATAAGATCAGCTCGTCAAGTTCGGCTCTTTTATCTTTATTTAATATAAATACATTATTTATATATTAAATAATATTTTTTATTTAAATAATATAAATTATATTAAAAAAAAATCTTATCGAGCCTAGCTTGAGCTCAATAAAGGAGCTCTCAGCTCGGCTCGGCTCGGCTCGATTGCAACCCTATAGTCAGGACAAAATATCATTGATGGATTAAGATTTTGATATTGCCAGGGATATTCTCTTGTATGGTCTAACCGCACATAGACCATCTTGATATGGTCTGTATAAAAGATCATTGACGAATCAAGACTTCGATATTGTCAGGAATATTCTCTTGTATGGTCTAACCAGACATGCCCTAGTTTCCTCTATGTAAGGGGCTCACCATGCTTCTAAGAGTGCCTTAGCAATCTCCTCCTCCACCTATGGCGATCCTGAGTGACCCTAACCCTTCTAATTGCCTACCATCTTTCCAGATTAGTTTCCCTGGACTATCACAAAATTTGTGTGATTATGAGGTGTTTGATAGGATGAATATATATGTATTTATGTAATTAAATATATGTATATGTATAATTAAAAATGATTAAGGTCTCGTTTGTCAACTATACATTTTAATCAAAAAATCAAAAAGTTAGTATAAATTATCACATCACTCTCTATTTTTCTGCACATCTTTTTATAGAAAGTCAAAAAGCCACTAAAATAACCTGTTCTCAAACGAGGCCTAAATTAAATTACAATTAGCTTATAAAATTAGGGTGTTTAGGTTATTATGTGATTGAAAAAGAAGTCATCTTTTTGAATTTTATAATTGAAAAGAGAATGATTCATCTACTTTGTTAATAAGGTAACGAAATGAACTTCGAGTACTTCATAGGAAAGAGAAGGTCATCGGACATTATATCCAGCCCAAGGGTAGGACTTTCTTGATCACCTCATTCTTCAACAATGGGTTAAGATGTAGCTAAAGTATCTCCAATGTTACGCTGAGGTTGGTGTAAATTACGATGTGTCAATTCAGGTGGAAAAAAAATGGGTAATATGTACAATAGAAGAGAGAAAGAGAAGAAAGTAGAGTGGTATTAAGGTCATTCTTCACTTAACTAATTCACAGAAATAGTGTTGTATTTTAGTCCAAAATCACATGGTGCCTCTTTGGATGTTTTTGAATCCCACCCTACCCGCCCCCAATCCAATCTATTATCACTTTGAGATAGTTCCTCCTTCAGGAACTAACATAGATTGAGTAATCCAAATTCCTAAAGCCTATCCAGTCAAAAAAATATTATCAAAAGCAGACATTTGGCAAACCAACTAAACAAAATACTATCATGGACTTTAATTGTTTTCTTTTCCTAGTTGATCACAAGCTTTCCTAAACAATTCCAGAAATACCTAACAATATGCTAAAAATTAATGCTTTGAGACATGAGCCCCATAGTTATGCCATTAATAGGTCAAAATCAATCCAAATCAAGGCAAAATTTACAAACAACCTCATCAAACCCTAGAATTTGCCAGACATAAAAACCAGAAATTAGAGAAATCAGCATTAAAGAGAAATAAACAAACCCTAACCATGATGAACTTAAATTAACGATTCCTTTCAGCTGGCAATGGTCGATTGAATCCACCCCGTCGGTTCATATACTGCCTCGGCTGCCGCTTCGTCACCGCTCTCACTCCGCTCACATCCGACCCAGCCACATGCTTTCCCTTCGTCGAATCGAACCCTACAGGAATCCCCAACTTCTTCATCATCTCTATCTCATCCGCATCCATCTCCCCATATCCAACTCCGCCGCCGCCCTCTTCACCACCACCACCGCCGCCGCCCTCCGCCGTCGTGGATCCCTTTTTCTGTTGCTCCCTTGCAATTCCGTCGACGAACTCCGACACGGCGGCGGCCGCTCTCTTCCGGTCCTTGTCGTCGTCTTCGTCGCCGCCGCGCTTTTGGCGCTTCCGCGGCGGGTCCGGAGATGGAGTGCGGTGGGGCTGATGCCGGCGGCCGAAGCGATCGGGAGAGCGAGAGCGGGAGCGGTGGCGGTCGGGGGATCGAGTCCGGGATCGGGTGTGGCGGGATCGGGTGCGGTCCGGAGTACGGGAGCGTTTGCTGCGGTCGCGGTCGCGATCGCGGTCCTTGCGATCGCGATCGCGTTCTCGATCTCGATCTTCCTTATTATCTCTTCTTCGATCTCGGTCTCGGTCTCGATCGCGATCGTGGTCGCGAACTCTTTCGCGTCCGCTCATCTTCGGTTAGAGTGATGGTAGTGTTCATGTTTTTGGATGTGGTTTTTATGCCCTTTTTGAACGAGTTTTGGGAAGTTGGGAGTGATCGAGTGTTTTGAGAGGGATTTTTTAGGACCTTATAAATAAGTGTATTTTTTGACTTTTTATGAAATATGAATTGAATTTGAAGCGATATAGTAGAGAAATGATGTCAGTTAAATAAAATGATATGACTTAAATAGGACAGTGACTTTTTTGAAGGATACCAAACATAGCCTTAACCGCGTTAAGGTAAAACACTTTGGCTGCAAGAAAAGTATTAGCATAATGCTGTAGATACTAATTAATATATTACAGTAATGATAAGTAGCTCGAAATTTTCAAACTCGAATTCATCCCGAATTCAAAACGACGTCATTTTAAACGGTAGTTTCGTTTTACGAGAGGGTTATTTAATGAGAATTATCTTACCGGTAAGAGAATTTTAATATATCTTACCGGTAAGAGAATCCAAAACGACGTCATTTTGGGCAGTCATGGGATTCGGGGAACAAAACATTTTCTAATATATTAATATAGTGGGTGGCAAATGTGTATGTAACTTAAATAAGTATAAAAATAAAAAATAAAAAAATTAATATTATAATAAATATATTATCTAAATGGTAAGAGTGTTTTTAATGAAACCTAAGGTCTTTGGATCAAATCTTACTCATACATTTGAATAATATTTTTTTATTTTCGGATTGAAAAATTTGCCACGTGGTAGAAGAAAAAGCCATCACACTATTAGACACCAAGTCATGTATTCACATATATAATAGTACTAACGGTTGCCACACGCGATGCGTGTGCTATTCAAATAAATAAAAATAAAATAAAAAATTAATTATATATTGTGTGCTAGTCAAATGGTAAGAATCTTTTTCATTTGTTATAAGTCTAAGGTTCAAGTCCTCTCCACTCATCTATCTAAATTTTTTTTTAATTTTAAATAAAAAAAGTGAACACGTGACAGTATAAGAAACAAAGTTTCAGGACACTATAAGAGTTGTTCACTTTATAATAGTATAGATAGATAGATAAATATTAAACACTATTAGACACTATTAGACACCAAGTCATATGTTCACATATATAATAATATAAATATTAATAGATATGATATAATTTTAGAAGTTTTGAGTATTTGTAATTTGTATAATAGATAAGTTATAATATTAATATTTTTCCGCCATACAAAGATTTTTTCGCCATACACACGATAAAGGATATACATATAAAAAAAAAAGAACAAAAACTCTCCTCTCCTCTCCTCTCTCTCTCTCTCTAAAAACCTCCTTCCCCGGCCTCTTTTTGGGCCGGCCGGCCGTTGCCTTTGGCTATGGCGGTCGGCTGGCCTAGCTCCTTCCGGCCTCTTTTTGGCCTAGCTCTTTCCGCTTGTTAGTTTCTTTCTATCAATAAACGTGAGTCCCCCATTTTCCCCACCCAGGTGTTCGGCGTTGCTGCGGTAGAGTTTTTTTGGTGGTGTGTCAAGGACCGTTACAGCTGATTCATCAGGGGTCGTCCAGGATTTTCATTTGAGCGCTCTCTTGCAAGTAGGAGCTTGAGGGGTGAACTCCGGTTCAAATTGGTGGAGTAGTTTTGATGCTCTGTTTAAGCGAAAACATGGGTGTCGTTGGCGATCCAGTTCTGTCTGGTTTTCACTCGAGCGCTCCTCTTTGAGTGAGAGTTTGAGGGGTGAACTTCTTCCATTGTTTTGGAGGTGTCCCAGAGGGTGGTCGGTGTTCGGTGGGTGTGTGGTTCCACGGGGTGAGTAAGGTGAAGAACTGTTGGTTTCAAAGTTATCCTTTTAGCCTCAGCCGAGGTAATGCTTTTGGTCGGTAAGGAGTTCTGGAAATACTATCACCACCACTGGAGAGGAGTTCGACATTGCAGCAAATTTTGGAGCTGCGTTGTCAAGTTTAGCAAGGAAGTTGCAGCGCCAGGGTTGGTGTTTTCCGGTGTTGGCTTTGGTGTTGTTTTTGGTCGGAATGGCAACATAGGTATGGGATTGGGTGTGGCAGCAACATAGGCATGTGTGTGGACAGATTAGCAGGGGAGTTGCAGCGGCTTGGTTGGTGGTTTCCGGTGTTGGCTTTGGTGGTGTTGTAGCAGCATAGGTGAAGGCCTCGGAATAGCAGCATAGGTGAGGGCCTGGGGAGTTGTAGCTGAAGCATAGGCGTGGTTGGTGTGGGCTGAGGTGAGGTATAGCAGCGTAGGTGTGGGCTGCAGCAGAGGCGTGGTGTGTGCTTCGGGAGTTGTAGCAACATAGGTGTTAGGTGATTTTTGGGTTGATTAGTGGTGTTTGGTGGGTTGTTTTTGTGTGGGATTTATGTATTCTAATTTTTTAGTTAAGTCATTCTTAACTTTTCTGTTTTAAAACAAAAAAAATGTGAGGCCAAGGGGTTGGTTGTATGGGTGCGAGTAGCAGTAGTAGGGGTATTTTTATACTTTCTGAATCTCTCTCAATGCATGTCATCTTTCGTACCTTTAATTTCATGTTGTTAATGGAATTTTTCTTTGCTGATCAAAAAAAATAATATTAAAATAATAATGTCATAAAATATGTTGATATACTACTTGATATATCAATTAGTGCATGTAGCACCACCAAAAATACAAACCTACCCCTGAATAGGACTTGATAAATCAACTAAGGCTTGGTTTGGCATGTTTGAAAAAAGTCAAAAAGTCACTATCTTATTTAAGTCACTATCTTATTTAAGTCACATCATCTTATTTAAGTCACATCACCATTCTAACATATCACCTCAAACTCAACCCAAACCCAACCCATATTTCATAAAAAATCAAAAAATACACTTATTTAGATCATTTCAAACAACTCTTAAATAGTCCATGTTTGATTTGTATTTGATTCATTTAAGTTGGTTAAATATACAATTTAAGTTTAAACATAATTTTGAACTAGTTAAAATTTTAAATAATCAATTCCTTGTTGAGCGTAGTTCTAAAACTATATACAAATACTAAACCACTTGAGTCGAGTTTGGCAAAAGTTGGTTTGAGATATATTTGAAAGTTTAACGAATTTATCTTGAATAAATTTTAAAATTCATTAAAGTTTGTAAACCAAACTTAATTGTTTGGCTTGTTTATCACTCTTATTCTTGAACTCCTCTTAGGATAGGTTGAAAACAAGATGAGTATTAAGTTGTTCAACTTAATTTGATAACTTATAATGAGTTTAAAATTATTTTAAAACTTGATATGTTTACATGACGAGTCTAGCTTTTAACAAGCCAAATACAAATTGACTTAAAGTAGTTTGATTTTTTATGGTGCATATAAACTTATTGAGTTGTATAATAAGTTGTTCAAGTTTGACTTAAATACTTATGGTGTGTTTGGTTGGAGGATTTGGAGAGGGATTTGGAAAGGGAAAGGGAAAAGGTGTGTGAAACTATGTGAAATTTAGGCATGTTTTATTCATATTTCACCTACCTTTTCCATTTCCCTTTCCAAATCTCTCCTCAAATCCCTCAACCAAACACAACATTAGCGAGTTTAAAATTATATTCAAACTTGACTTGTTTATATAACAAGTCGATATCAAACAAACTTTTAATGAGTTCAATACAAATTAAGTTCGAGTAATTTAGTTGGCTTAACACCCCCTATAAGTTTAGGGATGAGGGTTATAAATTCAATTTTGATATTGTTGAGTTGTCTCTAATTTTTATCTTTTGAAGTCATAAAAATAATAACAATTTAAAGTATTATATTACCTTCACATACTTTATTTTGGAAATATAGTAACTTTTTGATCTTTTAGTTAAAATATGAGATAAAAAAAATTAGTATATTTGGAATAATATTTTGATTTTTTACGAAATGATATGCAAAAAGTAGAGAGAAAATGGAATTTTTAATTTTTTGGTATATGTTGTTGACTTTTTAGTTTTTTAGTAACTTTTTGACTTTTTTTAGACTAAAACAATAAGTTGCCAAACGAGACTTTAATATAATACTTCTCTAAGTGGACCATGTAGCTTTCAGATTCATGATTATTATTGAAGAACTAGCAGTTGACACGTGCAATGCACATATTTTTTTTTTATTTATAAATATTTGATCATACAATGTGTGTTATAAAAGAGTAATTTAAAATTTCAATTAGAATTAAAATTAAAATTAAAGTATGATTTTAATTATTTATTTTGGTAATATTGACGCTATCATTCCATAAAATTATTACTTAAATACTTATATGTATTAATTTTTAAAATTATTTATGTATTTTGATAATTTTAGGTCTATCGTATTATAAAATTGTAATTATCATATAACAATTTTGTATGATATATATTAAACTATAAAATAGAAAAATAAATACTCATTTTGATATTAAAAATAATAGTTAAATTAGAAGAAGAATTAGTAACATAAAATTAAAAGTAATTCTAACTATTTAATTCTCTTTTATATTCATTTGGAAAATAAAAAATATGTAGAAATAGAAATTATATAAAATTTATTAAAAAAAATTAAATATAAATATGTTATAGTTGGATTATTATGTAATGATTTTATATGATATATGTAAATTAAATTATAAGATTGTAAAATAAACATTCTTAATTAAATTAAAATATCATATATAAAAGAAATTCAATAACGATTAACCAAGAAATAATCACATAACAACATCTAAATCCAAAAAACAAAAATAATAAAAATATTCAAATGATAAATACAACTTAATGTGTGAAGTGATTAATCATCTGTAATATGATGTCAAAACATAAAAAAACTTACTGTTCAACAATAAAAAAAGTGACTCAAGTAGTAAATCCAAACTTTAGGAGTTCCTCGTGAGTATTATTGTTGGGCAGGTTTTTCCTCATGTGAGTTGTGATTATATAAAATAATATAAGAAATGAAGTATAATTTCATATATAGAATCACTATAAAATTTAAACAAGAAATCGATAATATAGAATAATATAGAATTGGTATTGGATATAGAATAATGCATGATTTTTTTTTTTTCAAAAAAAAGGCAATTTAGCAT